GAGCCGCGCGCTTCACAAGCCCTTGAGCGCGGCTTGGCCCGCGACGCGGCCAAAGACGACGCACTCGGCGAGCGAGTTGCCACCGAGGCGGTTCTGGCCGTGCAAGCCGCCCGAGACCTCGCCGGCCGCGAAGAGCCCTTCGATGACATTGCCCTCGGGCGTCACGACCTGCGTGTCTTCGTTGATCTGCACACCGCCTAGTCCACGATGCATCTTTGAACCTTCCATGACGTGGAAGCGTACCCATGCAGTAGTGCACGACGGGCTCAATCTCGAGCACATAGTTGTCGGACGGGACCTCCGCCGGCGCGTTCGGGAACACGGTCTTGCCAAAGGCATCGCTACACCGTCGACATCAGTACTCGACCAAGGAAACAGAGAGATCGACGTACGGGCCACGCGTCGAGGCCGCCGCAACGTAGTGCTCCAGTTCGCTTTGGAGCACGCTCTCGTCGACGCCCATGTGCGTCGCGAGGTCGGCGAGGCTTGTCATGTGCGAGACGAGGCCAATCTTTTGGTAGAAGAAGAGGCCGAGCGCGCCGGTCGCGGCCGTGACGGCCTCGGTGATGGGCAGCACAAGGAACGACCGCTTGTGCGGCTGCTCGAGGATCGCCTCCGAGACGACCTTGCGCGTTGCGAGCTCGTTCACAAAGCGGCGACCGTCCGTGTTGAAGAGCAGACCACCGGCGCCACGGAGCGCTTCGGGCGCCAAGAAGCGGGTTCTAGATCGCTATAAGAACGCGAAGCATGACCTCCCGAAGCGTCATACCGCTTGGTGCGGTCCTTCGGGTCGATGAAGCCCGTCGGGTGCAGCTGGACCTTGTCCGTGTGGATGAGCGCCGCACCGAGGTCGGTCGCCAGCGCGAGGCCGTCGCCGGTCGCCCACGCGCCGTTGGTGGTCGCAAACTCCTCCATGCCGGGCGCGAGCTGCTTCAGAAGCGTCGGGTTGGCCGAGTAGCCGCCTACAGATCGCCGTAACGTTAGGAGAACGACACGCCGTCGTATATACCGGTCGCGAGGATGACGCGGCGCGTCGCGATCGTAAAGCTCGTCTCGGGCGTGACCGTGAACGTGACGCCTGTGACGGCATGCGTGTCCTCTTCTTTTTCGAGCGCCGTCACGTGGGCGTGGTTGATGACGTCGATCGAGTCGATGGCCTCGATGGCCTTCTTGAGCGCGAGGATGATGTGCGTACCAACGTTCGGGCCCGAATGGTTGCGGCGCGTGCGCTCGGCGCTGTGGCCGCCGAGCTGGCAGAGCACCGAGAGGTCGACGCCCTTGGCCTTCAAGAACTCGAGGCCGTCCAAGCTCTCCACCGAGAGCTTGGTGACGAGTTCGACGTTCGAGAAGCCGCCGCCCGAGCGCACCGTGTCGTCCGTGTACAGCGAGACGTCGTCATCGTCGCGCGCCGCGTTGATGCCGGACGAGGCCTTCGCCGAGTTGCCGCCGAGGCGGTCCTCCTTCTCGAGCAGCACAATGTGCGTATCGGGGCGGAGCGCAATGGCCTCGAGCGCCGCCGACATACCTAGTCGAGACATGGGCCACGCAGACTACCACGATGGACGTACCGGCGAGGCCGGCGCCGACAATCACTATGTCGGCCGACGTCGGGTACGCTGGCAGCTCGGCGGCGTCTTGGGAGTAGAGGTAGGCGACCATGAGGATGGCTTGGGCTGTGGCGACAGCGAGGAAAGATCGAAAGTGCGACGTGATTCTGCAAGTCGCCGATCGACTGAGGCAAAGAGGAGTGAGCCCACTTTGCCGGGCCGGCTCAGTAAAGAGACACGCGCCCGACAAAGACACGCTGCGACGGTTGCCGGTCAGTCGTCCGGATACAGGCCGCGGCGGCAACGTGGCAGGCGGGGAGGCCGGCGAGCGCTGTTGCCACCGCTGGTCAAGGCTACCAGGTAGGTGCGTACTGAGGGCTGCACGAGCAGCGTGGCGCAACGCCTGGCCAGCGCGGAAGAGGCCCATCGTCGTGGACATGGCAGCGACGAGGAGCTTTTGATGACGGAGTCGACGATCGACTTGGGTGAATAAGACTTTGCGTTGCACCATACTGCAAGAGGACAACGGGGCGAAGATGCACTGGGATTCGGCGACGAAGCTATGACCGCCATCGTACGAAGGCTCGCGAGTATTTGCAGGAAGCAAGGTACACGTGGGCAGGCGGCAACCGCCAGTCGCGGTGGCACGACGCCAAGGTCGTTGGCCCGTGTGGGCACAGAGAAAGGGCGAGGTATTCTGTTGCGCGGCCTTGTGACGCGACGAATGCTGGTGATTGCGCTGCATTGCCACAGTACATGTAGCTCTCGAGGTGCCATCGGATGCCATGAAGATGCGCCTACGCATCAGCGTCCATGGCCCTCGCCATGAACCGTACGCGATGACAGCCTGGCGTGCAAGATGAGTGCTAAGCGCCCTGGCATGATCAAGCCCTCTCGGCATTGCTCGTATGAGCACGCCTGCCACTGCCAGGAACTGTGTCACCAGCCAAGCCATCACGATCAATCGCTGTGTGATTTCCGGTAGCGACCAACGACTGCCCTTAAGTTGCGAGCTATACTAGTCACAGGGTCCTGCGCTTCAAGCCCGACCAAACCTGCCCGACGAGCCCAACTGCAATCTTGCCGGGCTCGGCGGGCTGAGGTGAGCGATGAAAAGTCATCGACCCAGCGGCGGCTGCGGGGCGCCGAGAACCTCGGACCCTCGTACTTGCCTTCGGTCGCCTATAGTGCTCCATGGCCGTCCATAGAGTCTGGACGATCCCTCCTAGTGCAAGGCTTGTAGCTTGCATGTGCCATGGCAGGCCCGGGCTGGCGAAGCGGGCGGCCTCGGCGCGGGGTCCGCGCTTGAAGTCGGCGGCCCACTGGATCAGATTCTGCCAACTTCAACCGAAGATAGAAAAAACTTCGGTCTGCATACAAACCACGAGGTCTTTTCTTGTCGAGAGCTTCGAAGTTTGGATTTCAACCGAAGCGGGCGGCATTTTTAAATAATTTTATTCCGCATACAAATGTTGTATGTAGCAGTGTGCAAAAATTAAATTCCCGGGATATCGGGCTTCGAAAGATATGAACCAGATCTGAATTTGCCTCCTCCTCGCAAGCGACCACCATGAAGCACTGCGCCGATGTTGCCAGCCTCGGGCTGCCGCCCCACTCCAAGGTCGTCGTCGCGACCCACCCCGTGCTCGCCCACAAGCTCACGAAGCTCCGCGATGCCAAGACCGATGCCAACCTCTTCCGCCACCTCCTGCGCGAGATCACGTTCTACCTCGGGTACGCTGCGATGCAGCTTTGAAGGATGCCCATGCATGGCCTACGGTAGATACGAAGCAACGTCGGACCTTGCCGTCATCCCCAAGAGCATCACGGTATCTCACATGCAAGCCGAAATGAAGGACCTTACCATGCCATAGACTCCGTTGGGGCCGCACCAAGGCGCCGAGCTCGCGTCCGTGGTCGCGCTTGTGCCGATTCTTCGCGCCGGTCTCGGCATGGTTGAGCCCATGTTGGATTTGCTTCCGAACGCTCGCGTGCATCACATTGGTACGTTCTGGAAATGGCACGCAGCGCCGTCATCGGGCGCGTAGGCATGTACCGCAACAAGAACTCGTTGCTACCGGTCCAATACTACAACAAGCTGCCGCACGACTGCAACGTGGACGTTGCGATCATCTTGGAGCCTGTCATCGCCACAGGTACATCGGTGTCGCCGGCTCGTGGCCCATGGCATGCACGTAGCTGGCACCATCATTGCGACCGTCGCCGTCTTGCACGCATGGGGCGTGAACCAGATCAAGATCATTAGCAGCATTGCCTCCAAGAATGGTACCATCCGTGTCGTGCCATCCATACGCCTTCGTATCGAACGACAATGCTAGGCTTGAAGGAGCTCTTCGCCAAGCATCCGGGCGTGGAAGTGATTGTGGCCGCGATCGACGAGACGCTCTCCGAGGTCTGTCGTCTTATCGCGTACCCATCCATGCTCATCGTGCCCCTCTCCATGTACAGGAAGGCTACATTGTCCCGGGTCTCGGCGACGCCGGCGACCGCCAATTCGACACGGTGGCGCACACGGGCGTGAAGCGCAAGCTCAACGAGTAAGACACTCCATTCTTCGTGTCGGATTCACAATACACATCCTCTTCTCGGCTTCGCTGGCTCATTTTTTCGAGAGCAGCACCTTGTTGGACGCAATGACCTTGGTGAGCACGTCGTCTTGGTGCGGCTGGAGCTCCTGGAATGGCCGGTCCTTGATCTCAAAGAGGAACGGGTCGGTCACGACCGCGTCCTTCTCGAGCCCGAGGAGCTCTTGCACGACGGCCGCACCGCAGAACGGCACGTAGCTCTCCGAGTAGCCGCCTTCGTGGACAAACACGGCGCGGCCGTCGCAGAGGTTCGTCGCCGCCGTCTTGAGCTTGGCCGCCATCGCCCGGAAGGTTTCGCTGTGCGCCATCATCTGCGAGAGCGGGTCGCAGTACTCGGCGTCAAAGCCCGACGAGACAAGGATAAAGTCGGGCGCAAAGGCCTCCAGCGCCGGCAGCACGACGCGATCAAAGGTCGCCATGTACGCGCCGTGGCCCGAGCCCGGCGGCAGCGGCACGTTGATCGTGTACCCGGCGCCCGGTCCAAACCCGGTTTCCTACAATCAGATATATAAGATCGCACGAAGTATGGCATGCAATACCTCGATCCAGCCCGAGTTGAGCGGGTAGTTGCCGGCCTGGTGCACCGAAACGAAGAGGACGCGGTCGTCGGCTTCGAAGGACGCCTGCGTGCCATTGCCATGGTGCACGTCGTAGTCGACGATCGCAATCTTCCCGATCAAGCCCGGGTACGACCGGAAGAGGTGGTAGGCAGCGATCGCCACGTTGTTGAAGATGCAAAAGCCCATGCCCTTGTCCCGCAGCGCATGGTGCCCCGGCGGCCGGACGAGCGCGTACCCCGAGTCGACGTGCTTGTTCATGACGGCGTCGACGAGCGAGAGGACGCCGCCGACGGCCAGCGACGCGATCTCAAAGCCACCGCGTGAGAATTGCGCCTCGTCGCCCGCGTCACCGCCATTGTCGAGCCGGCTCTTTTCGCGGATCGTGTCAATGTACGCTTGGGTGTGGTTGAGGAGGAGGTCGTCGTTGGTCGCGGGGCGCGCGCGGATGATGGTGAGCTTGTCGAGGAGACCGCTGACGGCGAGGAGGCCGTGGAAGCGGCGCTTCGTCTCTGGGTGCTCCCAGTGCGTGTACGGCTGCAGGTGCGGCGAGTACAGATGCGGCCACGGTGCATGCCACATGAAGAGTTCTTCGCACACATAGCCGACGCGGCCCACGGCGCTGCCATTGAGCGGCACGATGATGGACGGCACGGGCGGCAGCGGCGGCGCCACGGCCTTGAACACATGCGTCGGCAGCGGCAGCGCCTTGTGGCCCTCAAAGAACTGCTGCTTGCCTTCAATGGACGCGGCCTGGTACTGCTTCCAGATCTCGGCGTGCTGCGTCTCGTGGTGCTTGCGGTAGTTCTCGGGCCGGAACGGGATCGAAAATGTCTTGTGGTTGGACGTCTTCTTGCGCTTCCGCGTCTCGGCGTCAATGTCCTCCCGCCCAAAGTGCGTGCAGAACTGGCAGCGCACGCAGGACACGTCGTTCTTCTCGTTGTAGTCCTCGATCTTGAGCCCATACTCGAGCAGGTGCTTGGGCTGGAACGGCGTCAGGCGCGGCTTCTTCGCCGGCCCCGGCCCATCGCCGCCACTCTCCGACATCCTGTGATGTGTTTCCGGCCTTCCAATTAGACTGGCCGAAAACCGGACGTCGCCAAAGTAAGCACGTTTAAACGTTTAAACGTTTAAACGTGGTACGAACGCACGTTGAACGCAAATGACGTCGCCCGAAGCCGCTCTGTTGCAGTCGTCGCGCTCGTATAGAATACGAGGACGATATAAAGCTGATGGCTTTGGTCGTATTGCCGGTCGCCTAGCAGGTCAAATTTGCTACGGCACCAACAGCTTTCGTCGCCCCTCGGTCATTCCACCACGTCATGCTCAGCAAGAGCAGCATGCTGCAAGAGACTGGGTCATCGCACAGGGCACGAGTCGTGACGTTGGTATCATGGCAGCGTTCGTTGCGTGTCGACTACCTTCATATCAGTGTTTCAACTCGATTCGGGCGAGAGTTGCCCGGGTTTTGATTTGACGTTTTGAAGGAGCGTCGACTTAAACGCGTTTTTATCCTGTTTAAACGTCATCAACCTGCGTTCATGCACCTGTGGAATCGCATCCGGATACCATATCGAGTTTGACGAGTCGGATCATTTTGCGCGGGATGGACCCATGGAAGGAGTACGTCGGCGCGCGTGCGCGGGCCGAGGAAGCGGCCGGAAGGAAGACGAAGAGCTGCATGGAGGATGAGCTGGGAGAGCTCATGGACAAGGAGAACAACCTGCTCGCGCTCCTGCATGAGATGGATGCGATGGGCGACCGCGACGATGATGGCGTCCGCTCGCTGCGCAAGATCCATCACCACGAGCTTTGTACGGAGACGCGCCATCGAACGAGGTGCATCATGCCCATGCTCCATAGGCCAAGTCCGCTCCGAGATCAAGCATATGGGCGCGCCGAAGAAGCCCCTCGTGGACCATGTCGTAGGCCATGGCCAGCGCTTCTTGACGATGGATGACATTACCGACGAGTGGGCGACCTGGTTCAAGCCTCCGCCCAAGGAGGATCGACCACCGCCATATGTGCCCAAGCGTACCGCGCCGGTGGTCAAGCCACCGAGTCCCGTCGTCGTCGTTCCAGTCCAACCACCGCCGGTCAACCGCCCGTCGCTCCGCGACCTTGGACCTAAGCCGTCGGTCGAAGACGAAGAAACACACCCCCAGCGCCGGGGGCTGCGACCGCCTCCTCGGGACCAGCCACCGCCCCGTGGAGGCAACCCCTTCGTTACGGCAGGAGAGAAGCTGCAGGTAGACGCAGACTACATGGACGACTCTTGTGACACAGGTTGTAGACGGATGAGCGCGATGGCAAGAACAAAGACTACGATCGCCGCCAGCACGGCGGCAGCAGCGGTGGCATCAAGGGCTACCACCCCATGAATTCCAAAGTCCTCTTTCCCAAGAGCAATGGCGAGGCGTCGCCACCGCGCATTAGCAAGCCGTTCCAGCCACCGGATGGCAGTCGTCCGCGGGGTGCGCTCGGCCCGCGGCATAAATCTTAACCTTTGCTAATAGGTGCCCCAGCGACCAATACTGGCGCGTCGGCAGCGCCTGTTGAGCCAGACGAAGACATTGATCCGCGCCTCAAGAGCTGCGACCCCGAGCTCATCTCCAAGATCGAACTCGAGATCGTGGATGCAGGCGATCCGATCTCGTTCGATGACATTGGTGCGTCACAGCGCCATTTTGGAAGAAGCCCATTCCTAAGCTTTGTAGCTGGCCTCCACTTTGCCAAAAAGTGCGTCAACGAGCTCGTGATTTGGCCGATGGCCCGACCCGATATCTTTACGGGTCTCCGCAGCTTGCCCAAAGGTATCGAGTAGCAAGCAGTATGGTGCCCACGTTCCGTAGGCTTGCTACTCTTTGGCCCGCCCGGAACAGGCAAAACGTTGATCGGGAAGGCGATCGCAACGCAGTCGGGCGCAACGTTCTTTAGCATTTCTGCGAGTTCGCTCACGAGCAAATGGGTACTACTATACTATCCACTGTCCCTTCAAGCTGTATCCTCTTGCTAGATTGGCGAAGGAGAAAAGCTGGTGCGCACCTTGTTTGCGGTCGCGGCCGTCAAGCAGGTACATGGTGATTCACCGCCACATTGGCTCAGTCCAGTCGTGTTGATTAGCCGTCTGTCATCTTTATTGACGAGATCGACTCGCTCTTGACGCAGCGCAGGTGCGCCATTATGTGCTTTTCGATGGATAATGATATCACTTGGTCAGTTCGACGGAGAACGAAGCGTCTCGGCGCATGAAGACAGAGTTCCTGGTGCAGCTCGATGGCGCAGGCACCAAGTCCAAGGACATCATCCTGGTTGTCGGTACGTCTTTGTGGTCATGATCATGAAGCAAGCGCGCAAATTTTAGGCGCAACGAACCGTCCACAGGAGCTTGACGAAGCCGCCCGCCGCCGCTTTGTCAAGCGTCTCTACATCCCGCTACCCTCGGCGGAAGCCCGTCTCGACATGATTCTCCGCCTCCTCGCCAAGAACAAGCACCGTCTGGAGCAAACCGATTTGGATTACATCGTCGAACGCACACGTGGTACGTGGCAGATTCACCTGCGACGAGCTCCATGCTTGCCACGTGCAGGCTTCTCGGGCGCCGACGTGCGTGCTCTGTGCACAGAAGCAGGTACACTAGTCTGTTGCTACGCGTTGCAGTTCGATCGTATGGTACGCATAGCGATGGGTCCGATCCGCAACTGCGACGATATCCGCACCATGGACGCGGCGCTCGTGCGGCCGATCGAGCGCCACGACTTTGACGCGGCGCTGCGGGGCGTACGCCACTGGCTACAGCTTCCAAGCTAAAATCAAATGCGTAGGTGCGACCGAGCGTCTCGGGCAAGGACCTTGAGTTCTACTTGGAGTGGAACACCGAGTTTGGGAGCTACCAGATCGAAGACGCGACGAGCGATGTCAACTAAGAACTCGCCTGTCGACATGGCTCTTTTAGTTAGTCGTCGAGTTAGTCGCTGCCACGTGGGACACGCCATTTATCGAAGGCGACCAGACAAGCTCAAATTTTGAGGCTTGCAAAGATAGATACTCGTCGCGACGACGGCACTGCAGTCGGTAACCGCCGCTTCGCTGGAGCGACCTATCCAGAGGTATTCAACGACGTCTGCTGTCCTATCCACGCTAGTATACTGGGTACGCAGCAAGTCCTACGAATTATCCAAAGCCATCGATGCTGCAGGATAGTATTGCGGTACATTATCCAAACGTGGGCGTCGCGGCGGTTTCGCGGGGCGAGTTTCAGCACGCACCTCACGCCGTCGTTTGATTGGCTAAAAAGAAGATCCTTCGATAAAACGAAGCGTACTTGAGATTTGTATACCGCGCCGACTCATTCTGGATTTTGCGAAAGAGCGGACGCGGAATCATGGCGACGAGCAAGTATGGCAACCTCTCCATGCGCAACATCATGATCCGCAAGAAGCTCGAGGAGCGCAAGCGCTTCGACTCGGCCGACTACGCCATGCAGAAGGCCGGCAAGCCTGCGCTCGAGATCGCGACCGCCCTCGAGAGCCCGCGGGCGGCCGACGTCCTGTCGCCAGCGCACCTGGGCATGATGGCGTTCCGCAACAGCATGGTCGACACGGACATGGCGGCCGAGCCGGGCATGACGCTGTCGCCGGCGGGCCGCCAAACGAGCGTGGCGAAGGATGTCCCGTCCAAGTACGGCGCGCTCACGGCGCGCAACATCATCTTGCGGCGAAAGCTCACGGACCGCACCAAGTTTGACTCGGCCGACTACCAGCTCAAGAAGCTCGGCGTCACGACCGACGTGATTGGCACGGACCAGGTCGACGTCGATATGACGGCGGACGACGACCAAGACGTCGACATGGGCGGCGGCGCGACCATGTCGCCTCGCGTGACGATGGCCAAGCCCCAGTCGCCGCGCCCCATGTCCCCCGCGATGCCTACGAGTCCATCCAACAAGTATGGCAAGATGTGCGCGGCCAACATTTTGATCCGGAAGAAGCTCAAGGAGCGAAAGCGCTTCGACTCGGCCGACTACTCGATGGAGCGCCAAGGCAAGAAGAAGGCGTCAATGGAAGACGCGACCCCTGTACCGTACCTCCAGGCAACCGCCCTGGACACCGCCGACTCGGACGTGCACTCGCCCGTGACCAAGCAAATGAAGCTCACGTCGATCGACGCTACATCCGAGTATTCGACCGCGAGCCGGGTCGCGGGCCGGAATCTCTTTTTACAGCGAAAGCTGCCCGAGCACTTCAAGCCGTCGCATTAGGTCGACCGCCGAACGTCTGTACATGCGCGCGTAACCACCATACAAACTGTCCTTTTGATTTTGCCACCGTGTGCCATGTTGAAGCCGATGGCGCAGGACAGGCGCATTTCTCGGGCTTCCATATTTGTGAGTGATCCTCGGAGCGCGCATGATGGGCAAGCTGCCACTGTCATGACGTAAGGCGCGGGCTTGCACGCGGCTCGAATTCGGCTGCATGTAATAGCCGTAGCCCAAGAGGCGCTGGCGCCGTGTTGGAGCCGACGGGATGAACCTTCTACGTGTCGCCTGTGGCCGAGCTGCGCGGCGAGAGGTCAATGCTCGGCCATAACCATTAACTACATTAAATACATTTACATGTCATGCCACGTGCTAGCTCGCCGCCAGCGACTTGGCCTTCTTCAATACGACTCGGATTTGCCGCGGCTTGATGGACGGGAGCGAGAAGCGTCGGGAGATCAATGGGCGCTTCCGCGGCTCAATGTCGCAGAGCTCTACCACGCTTAGGAGGGCGGCGAGTTCGCAGATCAAGTCGTTGGTCGTGACAGGGCTCGCATCAAACACCTTGCGCCGCCAGTGATGGATGGCATTCCGCCAGGCGAGGAGCGACGGAAGCGACGGCGCCGCAAAGCGCAGTGACACGAGCAGCTTGCGCTGTCGGTGGAGCTCGATGCAAAACTGGTGCGGCAGCACGCTCGTCTTGCACGTCACAAGCGTCGTCGTCGCGTGGACGGTCTCGAGGTCGTAGCTCGCGAGGAGCGTCGTCCGCGCGGCCGAGTACAGATGCAGCTGGCCTTCCTCGAGCACGAGGCAGCGGATGTCCCCGATGGCTTCGTTGCGCGCCTCCAAGTGCAGCAAGAGACCTTCCATGCTCTCGTCGCTACTTTGCGGGATGGGCACCAAATCTAGACTGGGAGAGCGCAATCGTTTCGGTTTGGGTGTCAATCTTCCGTCGGCGCAGCGCGGACACGCGATAGTTGAAGGAGTGGACCTGGTGTTTGCGTGGTTTTAGAAATGACTCAGCGTTGCAAGCAAGGAATCATCCTCTCCGCAGTATGGTCGCAGTGAGCCGTTTTCAACGGCGGAATATTCAGCGGCCTGGGGAGCGGAGGAGGGCGCGTCTCCGCCAACGCCCGGCGGAAGACGCTCGGCAGGCACAGACGACGACCGCGCGATCGAACCTTGTCGCCAGCCTGCGCCACGCCAAAGATACTACTATTGGCATCGTATCCAATACAAAGCGCAGGCTTCACGGGCAAGGATAAAAACACGCGTCTTAAAATGGTCCGCGCCCTGCCGCCGACGATAGCCCGCTCGACAAGAGCATCGCGCGCGCTCCATGCACTACACTCTGCATAGTGGACAGGCAGCCTTTGATGACTCGGCCCATTATTGTGTTCGCTGTGGCATCGCAAACAGGCAGATGGCGGCAATATTGGGTGCTTTTAGTCGATCTCGACGTTGCAGTAGCCATGTCACGCCACCACGCAAAACCATGTTAGCAGCCGCCGGTCGCCAGACGCTCGCGAAGCGACCATGGCTCTACTTTGTGACGCCGAGCCTCTCGTCTACGGACGCGCTTCTTCCGCTCGTGGCCAAGGCCATCAAGGGCGGCGCGAACATCATCCAGCTCCGCAACAAGACGTGGCCCGCCGAGGCGCCCGAGCTCCGCGCGATGGCGACCGCCGTGCGTGACCTCACACGGGCCCACGACATCCCGTTCCTCGTCAACGACCACGTGGCGCTCGCGCTCGAGATCGGCGCCGACGGTGCGCACATTGGCCAAGACGATACGTCGGTCGCGGACGCCAAGGCGCTGCTCGCCGCAGCCGACGCGCGTGACTTTATCCTTGGCGTCACGGTGCGCGATGCCACCCAAGCCAATATCGCTTGCCAAGGTACTTGTTGCTTTGCATGATACTACGACGACGTGCTCATGATGGGCGACTCGTAGCGGGGGCGTCGTACTTGGGCGTTGGCCCCGTCTATTCCTCGAGCACCAAGGCCCACGCCAACAACGGCGAGACCATCGGCGTCCAAGGCCTCGAAAGCGTTGTGAAGACAGCCCGCGCCTTCCATGTGCCCGTCGTCGCCATCGGCGGCATTGACGCCAGCCGGGTGCAAGCCTGCATGCACACGGGAGCCGCCGGAGTTGCGGTCGTTGCCGCCATCAGCAGCCCCGCCGACGTCACCAGCGCGTCCGCCGCCCTCTATCGCAACGTAGCGCTCTACCACCGCGCCTTGGTTTAAGCACAAAACTCGTATCAAAGATATATTGGAGCATCGTTAGGGACAGGATGGGTACGAGCAGTTGAGCGAGGGCTCTTGCTGCAGCCACTTGGTGCGGCCGGACGGCAGCGTGCAGCGCTTGACGACCGAGCTGCACGTGCGCTCGTGTGTCGGGCACGGGTCAAAGTCGCAGTTGCGGGCGGCGTTGCGCGCGACGACGAGGCCGTTGGCGCACATCGACGTCTCGTTCGTACACTGTATTCGCCATGTCCAATCCTGCATCTTCCAGTGGATGGAGCGTACCGTGGTCGGACATGGGTCAAAGGCGCAGTTGCGGGCGGCGTTCCGGGACACGCGGCCGCCGAGAAGACAGGCTTGTGTGTCGGTCGCGCACGTCTAGAGACCTCATGAGCAAGCTCCTACTAAGCGCCTTCGCACCGACGTCGGGCAGGCCCGAAACGTGCAGTTGGCCGCCGGATCCCGTGTCAGGACGTCGCCGGTCGGGCACACCAACTGCGCTGGCATCTCGGTGCAGGTGCTCTACACCGCACATGTAAGAGCATGACAAAGAGAAGGAGAATGGAACAGGGCATACAGGAGGACTGTCGGCGGATGTTCCGTCGCATCGGAGGCGTGTACAGTTGTTGCTTGGGTCGCGGCCGACGACGACGCCGTTGGGGCACTTGTAGCCGTCGTCCGCACAGCCAGGTACCTCGGATGCATTGGGGCATGGGCGAAAGGAGCAGTTGCGGCTCATGTCGCGCGTCACCGTCGAGCCGTCGAGGCAGATGCGCAGGTCCTCGTAGCAGCCGTGCACGGCGACGACGACCAGAGAGAGAAGGACGCGGCGCATCTTTGGTCGACGCTCGCAATGGCGTTTTGTCGGTTGCAATCCCAGCGGTAGTAAATCTTATATATCTTAGGCCTGAAACTTCTGCAGCGTTTTCTCGGCCAGCGTCCGGAGCGGCTCGGACGAGAGCGTCTGGGCAGCCTCCGAGAGCATCGGCAGCACGACAGCCTTGTCCTGCGCCAAGAGAGGCGGGCCCGCGAGCAGCAGCTGCAAGAGGAGCGTGACGCACTGGGCCTCGGCCTCGACGGTGGGCGGTTGGCACCACTCGACCAAGAGCGGGATCTTCTTCTGGTACGCGTCGCAGACCAGCTTGCGGTCGCTGTCGCTAAGGCCTCGGGCCTCGAAAGACCGCTCGATGGTGAACACGATGCGCGCCTTGTCGATGGGCTACGCGCATCGGGATATGTCATAAGACGCCAAGGAGGGTCGAGAGAGCGTACGAGCAGCGTCGCCTTGTGCGTGGCCCCGAGCTCGAGCAGGTGGGCGAGCGCCGCCGGCGAGCACGAGCCATCGTCAGTCACCGACTCGTCGACAAAGTCGAGGACGATCTTGGAGAACTGGCGGTTGTCCAGCATCGGGTCGGGCAGGAACTTGTCCTCGTACGCGGCCTTGTTGAGCGCCTTGGCACTCTAGCAGGCATGTGCAGAGCCGGCGGCGACGCTTCGCCTCGTACCTCCTGCGTGTAGGGATGCGTCCCGTACACGTCGATATGCGCTTCCACGAGCTTGTAGTGGTCCGCGACCATCTCCTGGAACGCGCGGTGATGGACCGAGAGGAGCTCTTCGAGGATCTCCTTGCAGTCGGCGTCCATGCTTCGGCGCTGCGGCAAGCTGCGGTGTAGGCCCCCTATCGCGTTGCATTGGATCGGTGTATGCAGCGTGGTGGGAGGGGGTCGGGGCCCCTCGAAATCGTCCACATTGACGGGAATTTCGAGAAAACACCGTCTATTTGAGGATTTACCGTCTTTTGTCGGTGCGACCAACATGAAGCAATGTTATATTGGGACCAAAGAGGTGTCGAAGCGACGAGGTGGTCCATCCTCGCTACGGCAATGGCCCATGCTATTGCTGCGACCGGTCGTCTCGGCGTTTTAAGCCTCGGGGGGGGGGTACGTATTTACAAATGAAATCAACCCGACTAAGGTTGAATCTACCGGTAGCCCCAAGCAAGGGAACTAATAACTTATCTCCTGGTCCCCAGCTTTGCGTCCGGATGCTCGAGTTGCGGCGGGCATTCGCACTTGGTCCGAGGCCCCACGCCGCGCACTAGTACGGCTTGACGCAAAGGTGCTCCGTACCGATTCCTTCGCCGAGGATAGCTCGTGCCGGCTCGAATCGCAGCTGCAATGATCGTGAGAAGACAGACCCTTCCATGCCCGTCAGTTGATACCGGAAGAGTTCTTGTCTGCTCGCTCCAGCCGATCAGGCGACGACGCTGGACTTCCGATGCTGGGTGCAACGGGCTGCGGGTCAATATTCGTTTGCTCCAGAGGCGAGGATAAGGTCTCGCTCTGCGATATATGGACCAGAGATTACGCCAATGACCCACTTTAGTCTTAGAGTTCACGTCGACTAAAGCACTTGAGCTCTAAACTTGGCGATCGCAAACCACAGGATCGCAGAAGTTATTTCCGGAACGACCCCGTCCTCCGCGCGTTTGATTGGTGCATATGCACCAATCCGGCCTCGCGTTTCAATTTTGAACCAATCGCATCGCACGTATCTTTGGCCTAACCAATCATACGCGCGCATGGCATAAGAAGCAACTTCCTTGGACCTGACAAAGAAGTTGCTTCTGCCCAGCGCGTCATACCCCTTCGTCATTATCTCATTTCCTATTGACACACATCATGCAGACGATGGCACCCGGCGCACAAGCTCGGGGCTGCCCGTTCCGAGCCCAGCGCCTCCCGACGCGCCACGTCATTGACGTGCCCACGACCACGCGGCTGCTCTACGAGATCGGCGGGCCCGGCCGGATCCTCGAGTTTTGCGTAGCGTTTTACCTCTTGGCCTTTGCGGACACGACGCTGCAAGCCTTTATGTATGAGACCGACGGCGCGGTCGCCCACGGCGAGCGACTCGCCAAGTGGATCGTGGCGCAGATGCAAGGCGCGGGTGGCGGGTGCCAGCACGCGTGGGCCGCCGCGCACCACCGCGCGCGCCACTGCGAGAAGCGACCAGCGGCGGCGCGTGGTGCATGTTTTAGTGTGCGTGACGCGCGTGCGTGGATGCGGCTGCACTTTTGGGCCCTGCGCGACTGCGGTCTGGACCGCAACCAGGAATTTTGGACCTGGTACGTCCACTTCATCCACGCCAACATTGCGCTGCACAACTCGTACGCCCCGGGGTACACGCACCTCGACGCGGTCTGGTCCACGGACGCGGCCAACATCAAAGCCTACCGCGACGCCAAGCGCACGATGACCGACCTCTGCCCGAGTCTCTACTGCTAGTAACAACTCGTATTTATGATCCGACTCGTTGAGCGACTACAAGTCGTCGTGCAACGCGCGACGTTGTGCAAGGTGCAGGAACCCATCGTCCGGTGTCGCATCGGTGTACACCCGGGGCACCGCGTGCTGGTCCAAGACGGGCATCCAGAGGGCCCACGCGTGCAGGATATCACCGACGCTCATGAAGTACCTGACCAACGAGTTGGGTGTTTTCCATTTCACAAAGGCACGTACCGGCGGTCCCCACGCAAGATTGCATCGACCAAATAGGTGTAGGCTGAGTCGTGCTGCGTCGACGCCGGCGAGAGCTGCGTCGACGCCGGCGAGAGCTGCGTCGACGACGCCCAGACCCAGCCTGTAGGGAGCTGTACCTGGGGCGACAGGGCGGCACAGACGTCGATGACAATGCCTTCGTCACGCCCCTTCTGCAGTCCACTGTGTACAAGACAATATGTAGGTTGGACTAGACCTGGAGGACGATGCGCACGGTGCAGTTGGGCACGCCTCGCGCGTGCCACGTCATGGTTGTCGACCGGTATGCGACCGCTTTGGCGGCTGAAATCGCTATGGACGTAGCCGGGGCACGCGCGAATTGCACGGCGGCCGCGGTGGCCGTCGTCGAATGCGACGTATTGGCGTGCGCCAAGTACGACTGGTACTGTCCATGGACCACCTACGGAACAGCATGCAGCTACGAGAAGAACGCGAGGTATTGTGACCTCTTGGAGTGCAAGCGACTGCGTCAGCGCCTTGCGGTCGTCCTACGAGTGCGCTCCAGCGCTGACCACTTGCTATTGCAGCACGCACCTCGGTCGACGCCCCCGCAGCGTGCAAGAGCAGCACGGTCAAATGGTTGACCATCACGTCGCGCACAATGCCGACGCTAGCGGGAATTGAACCCACGGTCACACCGCCGTCGACGCACCTGTTGAAAAAGCCTGTCCGACCCGCACACGTCTCGGTCTCGCGCATATGAATCTACGATCGTAGACAGCGAGGCTAGGTATGCAGAGAATATGTGTAAGTACGCCAACATGCGTCGCGGCAGGAAGCGACCACCAGTGGGCGTTGGCGCTGACAAAGGCGTCGAGGCCGCGGACGCTCGCCTTGCCGAGGTAGTGGTCGATGAGAAACAGCTCGGACGCGTCAAAGTCGACAGCGAGTGCAGCTGCCAGCGCCCGCGCGCTCGCCAAGTCGTGGCCGAAAGGCTTCTCGACCACGACGCGCAGCCACGGGCGACTGGGGTGGCGCAAATACGTATGGATGAGCGCACACGTCTAGCTCGCAATCAACACCACGCAGGTGCTTTCCAGCAAGTTATGGTCGCACCGCCTGGAAATATGTGGGCGGGATCGCAAGGTAGACAACGAGGCCGGCGTCCTGCTGCCACTCGGGTCGGGCGGCCAGTGCCGCGTAGTCGGCGGCCGTCGACAGCTGTGCATAGCTACAAGATGCATCGCAACATCAAGACGTGATTCAGCAAGAGATTGAGGGAGAGCACTGCAGAGGAAGCGACGGCGGTCGGATCGAGGCGAGGCGCGGCGCAGCGACACCCGGCGGGTCCGTGCCGGCGGCCCACAGCTCGACGTCGTGGCGGGCGTGGAGAGCCTCGAACGCAGGCCAGAGGTACTTTTGGGCAAGGTTGCCCGTGCCGCCGATGACGAGGACCTGCGTGCGTGCGTGGCTGCTCGGCCAGCAGCAGGTCGCGGCGACAGCGATCGCGACGAGCAGGCAGCGCATGGTTGAAGCGCTGTGGCTTATTCGGTTGTTGGATTTTGACCAATGGCATCGCGGTATCCCGTCACATACAAGATCCCATATCGTTCAAGTGAGCTGCGAGAGTGCATAAGTTTCGCCCATGTTCCAGCGGGACGCCGACCTCAAGCCCGGCGGGAAGGCCGCGCTCGTGGAAGCGGCGCGATTGAAGCGCGACGAGCGCGAGAAGCGGCGCGCCATGGAGGCCCATGTGGTGCTGCTGCAGTCGCTCGCGCGACGCTGGCTGAGCACGCGGTCGACGCTGGCGACGTGCCGAGCCGACCTCGATCGGAAGCTCGCCGACGTCGCGACCTTGGAGAGCGTGCTGCAGCGCGAGATTGTGCTACCGGGCGCGGCGCTTGTGCCCATGCTCCACGCTGCCTTCTTCATTCTGCGCGCCGGGGCCATCGCCGCGCAGGATGTCCCGCGCCTCCTCGGGCTTGTGCAGCGTGCGCATTCGAATTGGCGTCTCGCCGACAAGCAGTGGGCGGCCGCCTTTAGCGATGTCCCAATCGAACTTGTGCGCTACCTCGTCCTTGCCTGCCTTGAGCTCGCAGTGTATCCAAGCGCAGCAGCCGCGCTCGCGTTTGTGGACGACCTTGTTGGCACTTCGGTTCGACCCGATACGCTGACAGCATGGACTACGACTTGCGTGGAATAGGTACCGACACGATCAGCCGCGCAGCTCGCACTCGGCGCGTACCTGGCGCAGGACCGCTTGCTACGTCCTTGGGCGGGGCGTGCCACCAACGTAGGACATGACTTTCCATCCGTTGATATCTTGATACTGTGACAAGGTGGCGGGTCTTCTGCGATCTGTGGTGCTGCGTTCGGAGGTCTCGACAAGCCTCTCGTCGTTCTACGAGCTCGTGCTCTTCCTCATGGCCGACCTCCAAGACGCCCCGATTCCGACGCTCCTGATCGAGGTTTCGATCCTCACTCTCCCCGAGATATCTTTGTCTATCGACGTGGCGTAGGTACTGACGCTGCCAACGCTTCCCGAGACGCTGCCACCCAGCGCGATCGCGACGCTACAGTCGCTCTGGCCTCGCCTGTTGGCAGCGCCCGTGGCCGACGCCGCTGCCCTGCCGCCGTCGCCGATGCCGGGGTTAAACAGCGCGATGTTCCTCCTTGCAAACATGCTCTGGCTTGCCTCGTCGTACGTACTACGAATATGGTGTGACGGGTATTCTGCAGCGAAATGGAGTAGAATGAACCTCGAGGCGTCGATGCCTGCATTCGTCCACTGGGCGTGGACGATGCTGCAGGTCGTCTCGGATGCGACCTATGGCGGCATGGCCTGGGTGCACGTCTCGGCGTCGCACTCGGTGCCGGCGCCCGTGCCACCGGCCGTGACCCGTCACCTTGAGTACCTCTATAGCCCCAAGATGGTAGTTCTTCCTTCATACACTTTGGCTCATCGATGCTTTGTAGATTCGAGCGATCGTGCCCCGGGGCTTTCGTGTGGATGTGACCAAGATCGCTACGCCGCTGACGACGACACCTCCGACGCCAATGCTGCCAAATGCCATCCTGAACGAAGTATTCCATAGCTCTATCTATCGCTCTCCGAGGTATAGCACTGACGCTAGGAACTAGGAGAAATTTGGGTTTGGTAACATTGCGCAGCAGTCGGGCTCGTCGATCTGGAAGCGGTTCTGGCACCGCTCCAAGCCTCAGTGGGCGACCAAGCTCTTTGGCACATCGTCGCGGTCCAAGGCGCCGGCCAGTAGCAGCGCCAAAGCCAACGACCATCGCGCGCCCACTGCATTTGATAGCGCGCTCTTCACGTCGGTCGCCAAGCTCTATGGGCTGTTTCTCTTCCGCTGGACGCAGCGCGACGCCAAGGTGCCGCACACGCTCCTGAGTGCGCTCGCCTTCTTCAAGACGCGTGACGGCACGTCGCTTGTCACCACCTTGTGGCTGTTCTTGCAAGAGTCGCTCGACCTCTCCGCCTACGCCGAGGTGCATGATCCCTGCATGCTTCTGGATCGTAGTAGCTGATGGACGGCGGGCGTAGTCGACGGCGTTGGAGGCGACGTCGGCGGGCGATGCAACCGGCAACGTGCTCTACCTCTTTGTGCAGTGCTACAACCAACTGCTGGTCGTCCTCGATGACGACGAGGTACCTCGATATCTTGATACCTTGATGCAGTTGGGGTGTATCAAGTGACGCGGGTACTAGATGTACGACCGCATGTACCCGCTGCCTCTCTTTGAGGTCGAGCGCGTCGTACTCTTCTTCAAGCCGATGCTGTTCCGGGCCTATGACGCGCCGCGACGCGTCGACAGCTTCGGGGACCGCCTCGTGGCCGGCGCGACGCTGCTCTTGCAGCAGCTCTACAACCGCTGTGCGCGCACCCCGTTCTGCAACGTCACGAGCTGGTAGTCCAAGGACATAGTCCACTGTACAAACATAAGGGTTAGGGTCCTCTCGAATATGGACGGGTCGTCAGTCCTCGAGCGCATACTCAAGAACGAGCCACAAGCTCTCCAGCTGATCCAGCACATGCCCTACTTGCTCATGTATGCGGACCGCGTCCGCCTGTTCGAGGCTTGGGTCCGTCTTGACCGCGCACAGTACCGCTCGATTCTCCAATGTCGGTGTTGAGCTATCGCGTTAGGCACCAGGCCCCGGACGTGCCGGGCTTCCGCATCAACATTCGCCGCGGGTACATCCTCGAGGACGGGCTCACGAAACTCAACGTCATCAAGCGTGATCTCAAAAAGAAAATTCAGGTATGGTCGTTTTGAGATGTTGCGATTCAGAAAAAAATTGATACATCAGGTGCACTTTATCAACGCGGCCGGTAGCGAAGAAGTGGGCATCGACGCGGGTGGGCTCTTCAAGGAGTTTTGGACCGACCTGAGCGCGCTCGCGTTCGACCCCAACTACGGCCTCTTCAACGTCACCAGAGACCAGCTCTTGTACCCGAGCCCGCACTCCGAGACGGTGCACCAGAGCGACAGTCTCTTGTTCGAGTTCCTCGGGCGCATCCTCGGCAAGGCGCTGTACGAGGGCCTCGTCGTGCAGCCGCGTTTTGCGCGCTTCTTCCTCACCAAGCTTCTCGGTCGGCCCAACCTCTGGCACGACCTCCCGTCCCTCGACCCCGAGCTCTACAAGGTGCATGTCTACTATCAATGTATCAAGCACGACCGAGGTATTAGAACCTGTCGTTTCTCAAGAGCTACGAAGGCGACGTGGCCGACCTCGGGCTCACGTTCAGCATGGACCAAGATTGCTTTGGCGTCGCCGTACGTCCGTCTCGGTTCTGGTCTCGCTCGATACCTTGATACGTTAGAAACACGTTGAGCTGATGCCGGGCGGCGCGACGATGGCGGTCACCAGCGACAACCGACTCCGCTACGTGCACCTCATGGCGCACTTTTACCTCAACACGCAGATCCAGCGGCAGAGCGGCGCGTTCCTGCGTGGTCTCCAGGACGTGATCGACGTCAAATGGCTCCACCTCTTCAACGAGCCCGAGCTCCAAGTGCTTATTTCGGGCACGTCGCAGGCGTTGGACGTGGCGGTAGCGGCCTTTGTACGTATTGTGTGGCGCTCAGTAGGGTGCATAGGACCTCAAGCAAGCGGCGACGTTTGCTGGCGGCTACTTTGGCCACGAGAAGCGGGTGCAGTGGCTCTGGAAGGCGCTCGAGAGCTTCTCGCCCGCGGACCAAGCGCGCTTCCTGCGCTTCGTCACGTCCTGCGAGCGCGCGCCGATTCTAGGCTTTGCATCGCTCCACCCACCTTTTGTCGTCCAGCGCATTTCGATCGCCAAGGACGACGAGAAGTTGCCGTCGGCGGCCACATGCTTCAACACACTCAAGCTGCCGACGTACTCGAGCTACAAGGTGCTCCGGGAGAAGCTCTTGGTGTCCATCAATGCCGGCGCCGGCTTTGAGATGACGTAGCTAACTGAACCAAATTCATTGCGATCTTCCACTCAGAACTTAGTGGCAACGGAAAAGGACCTCGCTTGTGGACCAACATTCTGTTGTCCGCGATCGTGGCGATCGTCGGTCGTGGTGTTTAAACGCGTTAAAGATAGTTGCGACGGAGTTGAGCGTGGTGGCCTGTCTCGGACGCTCGCACCGTCGGCGCCGACGACCAAGGGGCGGTTCGAGTCTCGTGGCGACGACCGCGCCTCCATCGACTCGACACCCCGACCGCTACACTGTACTAGTACCTACTGCAGGCCTGCGTCAAGACTGCCGGCAATTATGACGTTTTAGAGGCGCCAAGTACGTTAAAAAGCTCACATCGGATTAACGCGTTAGATTAACGCAACGAAAAGGCGCTTAGACCGTGTAGGCCGGGAGCGTGTCGGCGGGGCCGAAGCGGCACTGGCCCTGCGTGTACGAGCCGACCTGGGTCGACATCTGGGCGATCGTGCAGCAGCCGCAGCAGAACGAGCAGAGGAAGTCCTCGCACTCCGAGCCGGGGATCTTGAACATGACACGGATCTTGGTGCGGACCGACGCGATAAAGATGACGTAGATGAGCGAGACAAGCGAGGCAAATAGGCCAAAGTACGTCAAGTGCCAGTGGCGGAAGTCGTCGAGGCCCCACTCGTTCTGGTGCGCGAGGCTCTCCTCCCACTCGGCCTGGGCGTTGACGTCGAGGTTGTTCAAGACAAACTTGGCGACGACGAGGAGGAGCGCGACGATGAGCACGCGCGTGTAGCCGCCGTAGACGCCGACGCGCGACGCGATCTGGGCGAGCGAGACGCACGGGCAGCACCACGCCATGAGCGTGTTGGGGCAGAAGCTCTCGAGGCAGTCGAAGATGCCGGCCTTCCAGAAGACGCCCTGGTGCACAGGCTCGCCCTGGGGCACGGGCGCGTAGAGCACGGGCTGGCCCGTGAGCGGAGCAGATTCGGCCTTGGACATGCTTTCGACTGGTGGAAGATTCAGGTATGACCACTCCGTTCTGACTGGCAACGGGCGGAAGAGTACGCGAAGTTGACCTGCTTTACGGTCACATGCGGTTACTTTCCCTTGATGACCGTCTCGAGCGGTTAATGTCCCGTCCACGCGAGGTGATAGGGTCGCGCTCATTGGCTCCTGGACTGGGCGGACGACTGCGACATGCAAACATCTCGGGTTTCTTGAGCTTCGATCAGCCAAGCAGCTGCAGATGGGCCAGCTGCGACCGGCTGCAGCCACTCACTCGGCCTCTCGTTGGCGGTCGATATCAATTCATTGAGAGATATATCACTCCCAAGATGCGATGTGGATTCGGCGCTTAGACACTGTAGCTAGGCAGCGTATCCCGCGCGCCAAAACTACAAACCTCGGGCGTAAATGCGTCGATCTCGGCGCCCAGCTGCACGAGCGTACACCAGAAGCAGCAAATGGAGGCAACGTGGTCTTCGAGCTCCGAGCCGACGAGGTAGTAGACCCCGCGCACGCGCGTCCGGACGGCGCCGAGCACGACCGCGACCGTGAGAAAGCACAGCAGTGCGAGGGTTTGTAATAACTGGTGGGAGCACACGGGCATGGCAGACGACGCTTCGCTGTCGAGGACCGTCTCGCTCATCGCGTACAGAAGCAGCCCCGACACAATCAAGCCCATGACGCCACACAAAACGCGGTGGTAGCCGCCACAGACGCCGACGCGGCCTGCGATTTGCGCCAGCGCGACGCACGGACAGTACCACGCCATGGGCCCTAGTACATGTACAGGCGACGTGAAGGCTGGATCATTGGAGTCGTTGGTCGACTGCGTATACCGTTGGGGTAGAGATGCTTGCAGGCAAAGAGACTGGAGCGCCACGCATTTGGCTCTAGTACTATGATGGGAATGGCCGTCGGGATCGGCACCGCGAGCGGTGCTTCGGCGTCGACCTGCTCTCGATACATGCTCGGTGAGCTGCCAAGCTCGAAGGCGCCATCATCATGGCGCCGTTTCTTAACCTCCAACCACGACCGCCACCGGACAACAAGATGGTGGCGCCCAGCATTGCGCCCAAGTATTGTGGTCGCAGAGTGGGACTCGGCAGCGTACGCTCGGCCGTCTGAGTCGTCGCGCGATCTCTGCAAAGCAGCAGCCTGGTCCTCCAGTCATCGGGTTGAGAGTGTGTGTGGTCAAGAGTGTGTGCTTTGAGGCGTGGCGTGGCTTGGCCCTCGCAGGTCGCTGGCGACGCGTTGGCCGACGAGCCGGGCGGTTTGATCGCGCTAGCTGACGCGAGGCGTAGGTCGCAGGCGGAGGCCCAGCATATCACCTTGGGCAAGCCGTCAACCGGGAAACTAACGCGGAGCCATCCGGTTGCGACCGGTTACTTTCCCAAGATCGCCACCCGTATGCATTGCGATCCCGCGTTAGTCGATGTTTGAAGCCGCGTCGATGCAACGCGCCCGTCGACTCTATGTACATTCACTGCTTTCTAGTCGAACGGACATGCGTCTAGTACATACTAGCTCGTCTTGACCCCTCCCAAGTACACTAGCAGTATCTACTTTAGTTCATTGCAGTGGAATGGCGACGTATGGTCTGTTGATGCACAGAAGCGTTCAATAGGACAAGGGATTATACGAAGCGGTATCAGTCGTTGTGCCGGCGCGGAGG